TCAGGTGAATTTAGTGTAATCCACACAGTGAATAATGAAACGGGAAAATTCAGATAGCATAACTGCCACTGATCAGAGCCTGTCAAAAATATCAAACAGGTGTTGACATTTGCCCACATTTTTGCCGTTTCATCGCAGCACATGGTAATATTTACTTCTTCAGCTACTGTTGGCATGTGCAGACTCTCGTCGAATAAAATGGTCAGCTAAGGATTAATCGCACCACTTACACTGATGTTCTGCTAATTGATGGTCACTAAGTCATACTTTAGTTGAATTTGTACTTAAAACAATGAATAAAATTATCTTTAAATAAGCACATCTTCGTGAGATACATGAATGCCATCTAGGGGAAGCACCTGCCTGAAATTTATCAGTGTACTAAACCATTCATTCCTTCTTCCCTGTTAAGGATATTAGTTCAACTACGGCTGAAGATCAACGAATCCAACACGAGAAATTGGATTCTGATAAAAAGACAATTATTGAGATCTTTTACTCACCTTCCATTTAATTGTTTATGAAAGGTACTGCGGCACTTTTAGAACATAAGTCAACACTTGATGTTTTGAATGTGCTTTAAACACAGATCTTTGAAGGGAACATAGACTCCTACCAAGTGAAGCACACGTACCTGGATGAGGCTGTAGTCACTCGTTTCGTTCGTATTTATCCATTCACATGGAATCGGCATCCAAGTCTTCGTGTTGAACTTATCGGGTGTCAGCGTGAGTCCCGCAGTATTTAGGCTTTATTACGAAAGAGGACACTTTTGATCCACCACTTTTTTGCTTCTAGCGTGTCGACAATTGCTCGGAACTCCGCCGTACGCCCGCTATGGCGCCTCCACAACTCGCAGCAAAAAGCATGGGAAAACTTGCACTGTGGAAGATGGGCACTATTTCAGCAACAAAGCTTGGTGTGCGAAACGCCAGAATGGTCAGTTATCATTCCTTTTGTATTTCAAAATACAAAGCCCAAAACGAATAAGCTTTGTAGAAAAGAGCCTAAAATCAATTCCTTTGAAAGTTGAGAGTTTATCTCTTTCAAAACTTTAATAGTGTCATGTCAGAAAACGCAAAATTAGCTGATCGTGTTGCATATTTGCTTATCAGGAATGCAGTGGTACCAAATCGATCTGGGTCCACCGACTCTTATTACCGGGATTGTTCTCAGACCACGCGGGGACAGCAAGTGGCAACAATACGTAACGCTTTTCAAATTGTCCTATAGCAACGACAGCTTGCTATGGTTCTTCTATAAGGATGCCGCACACCTGGATCAACGCGTAAGTCCACCAGCTCGACACACTTACCCTCCAGTTTGGCAAAGCAATGGGTTATTTACTAACAATACAGATAAAAACTGGATCAAACACTTTGACCTATATCAATTAATAAAATTCAGAATGGAAACCTTAGTTACAGTGTTTAAGGTGGAGTCGATGGTTACATATCCAAGACAAAATTTAACATATGATATAGGCACAAAAAAAGGATACCGGAAATGGCTCTGCAAGATGCAGTTGCTAAAATAAGCCATTGGAACTATGCATTCCAGTTCAATGTAATTTTGTAATCGCCTCTCATTCCTCTCCTCAATAACATTTCTCAGGGATCATAATCCAAGCATTAAAGTAGCGAATAAAGATTCTCTCGACTTTCTTTAAGCTTATGCAGTTTTATGATCTCCTACATGAATATACATTTTGGATTATGAAGCAATAATTTCAGTAAACTATTTGCATTTATTTTTCTTGCGGATGTATACTAAATTCATAACATTTTTAAGCACAGTTCCATAGGCTTCTTTACTCAGTTGATATTACACCGGACTATTGTCGATTTTTTTTCAACTGAGAGTTCCTTTTCTGATCTAAGTTTGATTTGAAGTTACGTAGGCTGTACCAAAAATGCTGAGTTTCGGGAACAGGAGGATGGGGATTTGACAAAGAAGATGCTGTCCTTTCCTTCTTTCTGGTACCTTGCATAATAGTGGTAGTGCCCAAAATCATTGTTGGTTGCGGAGACAAAGGAGCCTTTTGGGCAAAAAAGGTGAATTTTCTCTCCTACGTAAAGGTGTTCACGGGCAACACGCAGACCCTGACGGAGCGCGTGCACTACCTGGCGGCGACGGTGGTGGCACGCTACGTGCGCATTCACCCAATCAGCTGGCGGGGCCGCATCGCAATGCGCGTCGGGCTGTTGGGCTGCCGTCAACGCGGCAATTGCGAGCCCGGCTTTTTCCGCATCAACAACAAAAGCTCCTGTGGTGAGTCCCCTATTCTTCCATCTCTACACGTCTTAGCGTTCTCAAATCATAATTGCGGGTGGGATGTGCTTATTTCAAAATATAGCGTTTACGTATTTCATGCTTTCATTTTATCCAATGAAAGCTAATATCAAAACTTATTTTCATTCACTTGGCAATGGTACACATATTTCAGTGCACTACTTTCGAGAACCTTAATTAAAGCTTATTCAAATCAAAGGAGCTGTTGAGTACAAAATTCTGAAGCATTTTTTAAAAAAAAGTGGCTTTGTCAAAAACATGAATTCATATTTAAGATTGGTGTTAAATCCAAAATGGATAACCTAAAAAGGCCTCTTGATGTGTTATCAAAGTCTAGAACCGGATTTCATTATTAATTTGATCTATACTAATATGACAAACGCCAACTACTTCCGTAAACCTAGAATCACAATTTGAAAGTCTATTTTAAATAACTTGGCAAGAACTAACCACTCAAACATGAGCAAATCCCTTCACTGTAAGCCTTGGCGCATGAAACTTACTAAAAAAAAGTAAATAAATATGTTTATGTAAATTATGTAAAACTGTACTATTCGATTCGAGTTCCCAACCTGGCCTATAAGAAAGACGCATGGATGTCAAACAATCCGGAAAATCCAAGACGCAAATCTTCCTCATCGCCTCCAGTGCCGTACAATTCGGTGCCTCAGAATCCACAAACTCCAGTCTACTCATTCCTACCACCCACCCTACCGACACCGTCTCAGACCACTCCTACGCGCAGCTCTGCCTTCTTTCTCGACGCAACGCCCAAGCCCCTTTCGCCGACTACACCGATCAATGACTGGAGCCTACACGACGTGATGTTGGGTGACGCGGGGTACGTGGCCAAGGACGAAGTGGCAATGCGTGCAGTCGACGGCTTTACCGGTCTGGAGGAAGCTAGGGAGGAGGGGAAGCCCATGGGTCAGCAGGAAAAGCAGTTAAAAGATGCCTATTTCAGGGCTAACAGCAAGCGGGCTCTGCGCTCCGTCTCCGCTGTGGAGCCACAGCTCCATCAGTGTACTATCCTACAGTACACTTGGCCATTCCAAGAAACGCCTAGTTGGTATGTAGACTTACAAGAGCCACAGGAAGTCCAAGGCATTATCCTCTACACTGGTGGTCACGGAAAATGTAAGCCAAAAATAGAATAAATTTAAAGAAATTGTCTCGAAACTTAGTATTTTATGGTAAATTTATGTATCACGGCTGTGAGTGAGATCAGTCGTTGTTAATAACATCTCTAAATTCGGTAATTGGACTTGTTTATTTAGCACTTTAGCAAGCTATCGAAAGCTTGTTTCCCTGCCCACTGTGAACTATGGTGTAGGCTGAGTGAAGACATTGATGCACATAAACCCTTTCACATTAGGATGACGCATTTTCATTTCTTGAGGATGAAATTTGAAATTACTCGCTTCACTACTTCTGTGCAAGCAATGGGACTAAAATAAAGCATCTGTGTAGACTTTTAGATGGGAAAATGTGAAATACGCCTTAAATGGTTAACCACATCGGCATATCATACAGTTGTGAATTTCAGAGAAGAGCCTAAATCATTTTGTTCATCTTCTTATTAAAAATGTGTAAACGGTTGCGTGAATGCAGAGACAATAATCGAAATGCAGATGATGAAGTGGTTCAATCACATGCTAATTCCAAAAGATTTATCGTAATAGAATTTTTTTACTCACTATCTTTGAGTCGATGGTCTCATACATGTATGTGCATTTTACAGATTTTCAAGCAGCGTGATTGTTGAATCTTAGTAGAAAACATGATAAATTGATTACAACACAATAAATTCCCGTGCCCCTCTCGCACTAGTGCTAGGTCAATTTCAAGTGGCCTCACATCACTTGATATCGGTAACAAGGAGAAGCAGTGGAGCCTAAGTAACACACCGGGTGTTATGAGGACATTCGACAAAAAACGCATTTGGCTATTACCTTCACTGATTCCTAAGTCATTTCCGCATAAACAACAATTTTAGGCATTACGCTTAAATATTCATTTCGATAGCGGAAGCCTACCGCAAGCTGATAGCGCAAAGTCTACAAGGATCATCGGAGCTTGTGTTACGCATGAACAACCTTGAGCGAGTGGCCGTTTACGTGGAGGGCGAGTACGTACCAGGCGGGCGGCAGCTCTGTGGCCACGTAACCCGCTTGAATGACGCTGTCTTCGCACCCAAGCTCCACATCACCTGTCAACGACCCACAACCGGGCGTTACGTGATCGTTGAAGCCTACGGCTTGATGGCCACCTGGCCTAAGGACTATCTGGCGGCGCTTTGTGAAGTGCAAGTCTACTAGTGGGGCCACCTGACCGAATTCGACAAGTTGCCTTACATAAAACGCACCAACTGCATGCCAAACTCACCAAAAGAACGATTTCCCGTCATTCTATATTTGGATTGTTTCAAGGCATTTCAAAAAGCAAGGAAATCTGAAGTACTTTTGTACTTCTGACGCCTGCATGTCAACGCTCTCGAAACAAGGTATCATAAGGTCATTTTGTAATCGCATTATTCAAATATACAATTAAAAAAAAACAAGAAACAATTATACGAATTTCGATGAAAGCCGTTAGAAGTGGTACCAGTGTGAATTATGTGAACACGCACACTCTTGGAAGTAAAAGAAAGCATTCATTGGAAGACATTTTCACAGTCGCTAACGCATTCAGCGAAAGACTCATACTAATTAGTAAGAGAAATTCCCAAAAAGACTGTTAAATGACATTTTGTCCAGACCAATTAAAGCAAAAAGTAAGAATTGCCGGTAGATATTCAAGCACTGTGGCGAAATACTTTACAGAGTTGAAAAAGCATGTCATAAATCTGAAGTACGGACAAAAAAATTGGTTAAATGAACCACGGTATCATTATTTCATGGATGTTTACTGGGGCTTCATGGGAACCGTACGACCCTTCACGACGTGATGCAAGCTCTCAGCCTCCACACAAACGCAAACTACAGGACAACCACACACTTTGAAATACCAGGCAGTGAATATGGCACCTCCTTTGGTTAAAGCAAGTCCAAAGAAGCCGAGGCAAAGTGGACCACTGAAAGATTGACTTAAATTCGAGTTCTTAAAACTCGTAAACTCCTTGTACAGGAGGAAACGATGAATCACAGCCAAACAGATGGTAAAAATATCAGCGCCTCAAAGCAACAGAAACAACAAACTTTTCGAAGGGAACAAGCCTCAGTAGCGAGTCGCGAAGACACGGTTCCTTCACTGCTCCCGTGGGTGCATGTCAACATACGACCAGAGAGGGGGTGGGGAAGCGCGTGTACAAAAGCCACGTTGTTGCAAATGAAACCGCGAGGTGTCTGCCTCGCATGATTCACGTGTTTTCCCATCCATAATGGGGCACCACAACGCTGCCAGTGAGAGATGAAAAAGCCCCATCGCAGGGGGGCAGGTGACAAGTCTCGACGCCTTACTCATCATACACATACACACGCACACAGAGCCAGGCCACAGTCGCGGTCAAGCCCGACCAGCGTTAGTCACAACGCATCTATGCCTGGGGAGAGGACAATACGGATGACCCCGCGGTACAATTCTGTACGATCATTTCATAAACTAGCAAGTAAAATTTTATTAATTTTTTCTTATGTTACCGTCGGCTACACTCGAGACAGTTCCCTGGCCGTTGGATAGGACAGGAAAAAATCGAATGCAAGGAACACAACCAGGTACTAAATTTCGAACGTATCCGCTCAGTGGCAATGATTATAAATTAAGTGTTTGGCATTGAGTGGAAAAGAGTAACTGAAATCTTTTCACAGATTAACCAAGAAAAAAAGGGACCCGCAAGAGATCACAGAGAAATGTATACGCAATATATGTACAGTGGGGCATGAATAGATAAAAACTGTGAAATCTAGGTAAAGTACGTTTTGAGGGAGGCAACACTTTCAGATGGAACTTCTTGAAGAAGTTGCTCCGCAATCTCACGATCCGCATTATCTGCCAACAGCCAGGCCACGTCGAACCTCGGCAATTTCGCCAAAGCTGCCATTCGCTCAGCCTTCTGGGCTGAACTCAGTTTTGAGCTCATGCTAAATGCTGCTAAGAGGCGGCCAAGACACGAAGGATTAAGATTATTTCCTATCACGTTTGCATAGTTCCAAGGTTCGATGGAACACAAATAATCCACTGCGGGAAGAGCAAGGCCTTGGCTCGAGGGGATCAGCTCTCTCAGTTCTCGCTCCATCTGAAACCAATTGGTGGGCGGCTCCGTTGGCATTGTCGGAGTCACAGCAAGTTGAGACGAAACGCCAGGGATTAAAACACTGTCGCCTGATCTAACTTGCGAATTCGATGACGACAAATTGGTGTTCGTTTGCACTTTCTGACAATCACCGGCCTGCGACTTCGACCAGGTGCCACCAGCTTCTGAAATCGGGATGTGACGTAAATCATTTGAGGTAACTTCCGAAATGTCGATAAGCTTGAAGATGGAGTTAATGAAACCGGCGCGCAAATTGGAGTCCCCAGTCAAGGCACTGAGGTCTTTTAGTGCAGTGGAATTTCTCGGTTCAATATCCAAAACGCGTTTCAGGTCGCTTGCAGCTTCCTCCAATTTACCAAGGGCCTTCCGGGCATGAGCCCTCCTGAAAGGAAGACGGGAAAGAGTTAGTATGAGTCTGGTGGGAGAGCGGTTTACTGCATTGAAGAGACCAATTGACTGCAAAAGACAAGCTAAAAGGATGAGCCCGGGAGTATATAAAAGCGAGTCATTAAAAATAGAGTGAAGTAAACTTTCGGCAACAGGAAAAGGCACTTCTTTCCACGTAAAAATTGTAAAAATATCCCCCAGAAAGATTGACAAATTTAAAATGAATTACTATATAGCTTGAAAACTATATTAAAATCACCTCAATTTGTAAAAAAATTACTGGAAGGAATAGCATTGAAAAGATTGGGATGCAAAAGCCCGCTTATTGCGATGTTAGGTAAAAAATAGCAGCTCAGCGCCCTGTATAGTCAACAAAGTTCGAGACAGGAATAAAAAGCAGCCTCCAGATCCGATCGAGTGTAAAATGGTAATCACGTGCAAACAACCACCAGAGGATCATCAAACTAGTGTGTTTTTCGTACACATCCTCCCTCAGCCACTACTTGCAAGGGAATGTGGACAGCACTTGAACCGACCGCCATACGGTGGAAGCCAATTACTGGATGATTCTGTGAGTGATGTAAGGCATCGTAGTGATCGGTTCAAAAAATCGACATTGAAATGACCAAGTAGATGCATTCGAAGGAGAATAAAATTAAAGCTTTTCAATATTCAATCAATGCAAATTACAATACTTCGTAAAGGTTTAATCAGAAAAAAGTATCGAGCAAGCGGCAAATACAAGCAAGGGATCAAATATAAATTAAAACATTGCTAAAATAGTAAAAATGAACGTTTTGAGATCATTAAATATACGTGAAAAGATAAATCACGATGTCGCTCAACCAAACAAAGTTAAAGGGAAAAGCGCCAACGCGAGGGCGGTTGTGGTAAACTAACGAAAATAACCAAACGCACGCAGATGTATTCAAATGCCAAAAGACAGCTTAAAAAAGAAAGGGGGAGTCATTCGCCTGAAATGTTTTCATAACATAAAATTATGCAGCGCTGTGGTAAAATACCTTTTCCTCCGAAAAGTAGAGGTTAAGTTAGTAAGAATGATGACTCTGCAGTTGTGGAGCATGAACTTAGCTGATCTCAGCCAATGTAAGTAAAACAAAGCGATCGCCTTTCCACATTTTTAGTAAATCACTGTTTTATAGTGTTTTTTGCTGGTGGAAAAACATTTAGAAAGAAAAAAAGATGGCAAGGATGCGTTTTGAAATAAGAACACTCGATTCCAAAACACGCGCTACTCCCGTCCATTCCACCAAGTGCCACGGTGTCACCGTAAGCACGTAATTTACTTGTTCGAAATAGACAAGGAATAGCATTTCACTCATAAATGCTAATGCAATGTAAAAATGCAATCATCTGTGCGATTACCAATTTGATGGCATGGTAGGGGTGAAGAGACCAAGCTAAACAGCACGACTTAGTCCACAAATCAGTACAAACATCTAACATGGCGGTAGCTGAAGTGTGCCCTCTCCCCTTCTGATCTTAAACTGCGAAAAAAGCAAAAAGCTGGAACAAAAAGGGACACAAGGAGTTCTATTTTGAATGAACCATACGATTGTGAACCCGGAAAATAAAGCAACTAGGAAACATTCTGTTAAGTTACAGCATGTAAATAAATTATTATAAGGGATGAGATAAAGGCAACTGTCTCGAAGATTACCAACAACTACCTAATAGATAAAACACTGAGCACCAAAATGGCTGAGCAAAGGCTAAAACAGCTTCAATTTCCAATGAAATGACAGAACTCCATTACTGTAACATGAGCAGTAAAATTTTGAGTATAAAGTGAAAATGTCATTTAGTCCTTTTTCCACCTGGCGGAAAACATAAAATGCCACTTCCTTTTCTACCAAAGGAAAGGCAGTAAATTATGAGGGGGGTAACATTCAAAGCTAGGATAAGAAAAAATCAAAAGAGGGTATTTACTCTAAGTTTACACGAAGATGTAAAAAGAAATATACTGAAACAACATCGAAACAAAGTGGGCTCAATTGTAGCCAGTAAGCGGCGAAAAGTTCTGTATTTGAATCTATACATATCTTTGGCAGAGGGACCCGTACATCCAAATAACCATGTTTTTTTAAAAAATTGCAATTTTTCCAAGTGAAAGAAATCCCCGCTACTATACCTAATAAAGTAAAAGGAAATTAGCACCACAAGGTCTATAATTATAGCCTAATAATTGTATCCATGATAGCATATTGTAAATATTCATGCAATATTATGAGGTGCAATGCAGTGATTGTTCATCAATGCCAGTTGATTCCAAATAAATCCGGGAAAAATTCAAGAGAGGACTTTAGGAAATGCAATCAAAGAAGACCTGTCACTTCGAGGTAATGCGAGTTAGCTTTTTAAAGAAAAAATAAGTAAACGGCATCCGCTACCATGACTGCAGCGGAGGACTAACAAAGATAAATTTCGGCGCTTTAAATCTTTTTAGACAGAAAAATGAACCCAACTAAAACAAAATTTTTGGCGAAAACCTACTTTGAGGCATTTTAACACACTAATTGAAGAGGTTCAAAAGATGTTGAGTTTAACAATCCTGAAAAATGATTCGCTTCATCTGAACAGGGGCGAAAACGCATGAGAAGTGAGCAAACAAAAGTCACCAGTAGAGAGCCTTCACTAATTTCGGATCAATGGTGAGGGCGGTAGAGCAGTCGGCTTCAGCAGAAGCGAAACGCCCTAATTTGCAAAGTGCCAGCGCTCGGTTCGAGTAGAGAATTGGATTCTCCGGTGCGAGCCGGATAGCAGAGGTGTAGCATACGACTGCCTCCTCATATTTACTTTCCTGTACAGTGTTAGAAAAAGCGACGTTAGTACGAAGGCCAATTTTGGAAACGATGGTTGACTAATGCACAAATATTAAGCGACCAATTAACAAGCATTAGCTCATTAGAATTAATACAGGAACCTAAGAATAGAACAGCCTGAAACACAAGTTTGAAACACGGAAATCGCCAATGAGCTACATTTTCATTAAACAACTGAAAGATAAAGCGCTTTTAAAATTATCATTGGATGCCCATGTGACGCATCATAAGTGGTACTACTAAAACTTGACTAGAAAAATATGCAACTTCACATGCCGTAGCAGCAAAAAACCACAAAATTTGCTGGACGTTAAATATGCAAGATTTTGAGCAAGATTCCACGAATATTTTGCAATAATTCAGCAATAAAATGAAAATGCTTTTGCGCTTTTCCAAAATTACTGTCAACTATTGGAAAATAATGCGCCATGAATTGGTAAAAGGACTAAGGTTTGTAAAGGGAATTAAAATGCTCTAGAAACATCAACAGATGCATGATTCACCAGAATGTGATGAAAGCGAAACACGAGAGCGCAATAGCTAAGTAGCAGCCGTTATAGGCTACTTAAATAATTACAGTAAAGACCACTGAGACCTTGGAAGCAAGAAAATTGGAAGTAGACAACATAGATTCAGGTAAAGTCAGCGACTCGAAAAACAAATTCAGGCACCGTCCCAAAAACTGGATTCCCGAACTTAATAATCGACCATGAGGACGCTATTGCTCACAATGGCTTCTAATTAAAACTGCAGAAAAAATGAGGCGAAATCCGATTCCATGCGGAAAATATTCGGCAAAAAAAAAAACGGAAAGCCACTTTGCCGCTAAGACACACCAAAATTCAAGATATTACTTCTGATCAATGAAGGAAATGATATCTGGCATTTCTGATATCGGAAAATATTCCCCACATGACAAATGGTGACTTTACCAAGATAACAAATAAGGGCTGCTTAGGGCAATATCACTACGAGCTACGGAACCAATACTGGCAAATAAAAGTGCGATTCGTCTTCAGTAAACATCACTAAAATCGGTAGCTGTTGAAAAGAGGCAGAAAACCCAAGCACATGCGTGACAGCTTAAGGCAATCGTGATTAAATCCAGCTAAAAGCCGATTGGTATTCAAAGATTAGAAACTACAACAATAAGTTATGGGAGATAACAAATGATGATATCCGAGCCACACCTTAAAGCGAATATTCCCTTGCTCCTTTTCAACATCTGCCAACCTAATTCGTCTTTCGTTCTCAAATTCCTCATCAGTTTCGCTTTCCCCAGAGGTTCCCTCACTTTCAGGCCTATCAATAGCTTCCAGTGCTTTATCGACGTCGAAAGAATCCCAAGCCTTGTAATCATCTGACTTGATACGGCCCGAGTTAGTAGCCTTTGACCTCGTAGGAGCCTATGGATAATCTACAAGGGAGAAGAATAATGTTACTCTGATTGAACTTTTCTTCTTCTTTTTCTTATGCAAAGCATTGCGAATTTGAGGCAAATCATTCTGATTTGTTGCTTCGGAGCGCAGCCTCGCGCTTTTTCTCTCTACATCCAGACGCCACTGATCCATATCACCAAGAAAATCCCGGACGTCTTGATTATTTTCTTCAATCTGCTTCCGCATTTTCATAAACGCATGCCCATCCATAGCCACCAACGTAAACAAGCGAAGCGCCACCCTTCAGAAAAGTGCCCGCCTCACTCGAACAACCACATATTTATCTTTCATTTTCGCTGAGTAAGAACGTTCCTGAAAGTATACATTTTTAACGCTTTTTAGCAAAAGTTTTATTTTTTGGCATTTTTGCTATGATTATCCTTTTTCTTTATATTGTTTTATTAAATACGACGATTTGGCCCATTTAACACCTTATTTGAAAACCGGAAGGCGAGGTATCGGGGGAGTTCTTCTCGTGAGTTTGACGAAGGTCTGTTTTAGTTTGGTTCATGCTCCCAGAGCATCTTTTCGTTATTATTTACGCTCAGACACACCTTTCAGCTATTGCCTTCGCTATCACCTGCGTGTAGTACCCTCATTTTATGCCTGACTTTACTAAGTTTACAGTGAGACGCTCAGCTTTTCACTTAGAGGTTTCATTCTTTTCATCCAATAGGTTGAACTTTGCTTCCACTGTTACGGGTGCTGGTTATGTAGTTAGGCCGCCAGAATTTATTATCAATGCTCTTTGCAGTTAAAGCATGCTGATCTAAAACCACTGTGAATTCAACAGGTTTTGCGCTTTGCACCAAGATGGGCATTTCATTCATCGGATTAGGTGTTTCTTTGGCTGTTATTGTTATCATAGCAGTCGTTATTTACCTCTGCTGCTGTCGAAAGAGGAAATCTTCCAGTGCCAGTGATCGTGTAATTAATCCTGCTGGGCAAGGTGTCAGATCGGATAATCTTATCGCAAACAGGGATGATCCGGTATGTTTCATATCGGTATCTATTACCATTAGAATTTCGTTGCTGAAGAATGTACTATTTGTTTTTTACTGCTCAAATTATCCCGCTCTTGCATTTATTTTTCGTCTACCTGCCTCTAATGTCAAAATGACCATTAGCCTCCAAGTCTCCGTACTTTACACAATTATCAGTTGGCGACTAAAACATTTTTCCAATACGATTTTGAACAGTTCAACGCGAATTCTTTCAAACTAGTTCCAAGTTTGAGCCTCAATTCAACATGAGTATATGGTCTCTTTTAGCTCAAATGCATTTGATACGCCTTTCAGTCTATCCCTATTGCTTAAGGGACCTCATCGGGTATTAATTCACGCTCTTTCAGCACTTATTCAAAAACACCTACTGTCATCGCCTTGTAAAGTTACCCTTTTTCACACCATGCATCCTATTTTGCCAGATTTGTCGCGTCAAAGCACAATGCTTCGATTCCAATCTCAAGGGTTCTTGTTCGCTAGTGATTCATGAACTCCCTCATCATCATGTTGCCAAATGCTTCTTTTTAAACAGAATTTTTCACTTCCGTTTAAAGTGTTGAAGTCAGTTATGATTGTGAGGCCGAGTCATGAAAGCATGGTTGACACTGATGCTTTTGAAACTGTAGGTGAATCGTAATGTTATTCAAATTGTTCCTTTGTGACTAAATACCACAAAAACGACCGAGTTTTCTTATGTGCTGTTTTATTTTGCTTGGTTGTGAAGGTTCTTTTTTAGACGTAAGTGACTAATTAAGACGTTATTGCTTTTTATTTGTACGAATGTTGTAGTTTCGTGAATGCCAAGGATGCCTGGTGGATAAGTAGGAGGACTTAAAATCTGTTTTTCTGTTTTCTGTTGGAGAGGAATTATGCTCAGTCAAAAAACCAACGACGAAAGTGTGTGGATTTTTTTAATGGTAAACGTGACCTTCAAAGTGTCTTTTTCACAATAAAACTTCTGAACATTTCCATTCACCAATTCGCTGCTTAATTTAAGAAATCAAATTGCATATCATTAGTTTTAGCATAATCGGAATAGTCTTCCGCGGTTGATGAGAACGTCACATTTGTTTCTCAGGGCTATCCGACGGGGCCGCCGGGTCCCACGTACCCAATGCCGGGGCCCGCGAGCGGCGGGGCTCCCGTCGGATGGAATATCGACCAGGCCTCAGACGGTCCTGGCTCGGTGCCCTACCCACACGATGATGGCGGTAGCACCGCCACGCCGGGCTCCGGTTGGGGTCCCCAAAACCCCTCTGCTCCGCCTCCGCCTTACCCACCTCCTCCCTACCCCCAGTAACGCCCCGGTGACCAAATCTCCTTGGAAAAAAATACTCAACATTCTTGTCTTCCAAGCTTTCTGGAGTCCGCTCTCACCGAATTCTTTCTTTCGAGTGGGATTGATGTCTACTTTTTCTTTACATTTATTGCCCAAATATTACATATTTAATCGAGTACTTATGTGTTTTCCAGCGTAGGAAGCACTTTGCCGAAGTACCATCAAAAGGTTTCCGTTCGTAGTTTGAGCGAATGCCTAGAGTTAAGCAGTGCTAGAGCTGTGAGGTTGCAAGACCTACCGAGGGGGTCGCCGTATCTATGTACTTTGAGTGGATCTAATAATATCATAGTAGTGCTACTCAAAACCTGTACCCACACGGAACGTAAGCACTTCCAGTGTGTGGGTGGTCTTTCCACTCACGCGGAAGCTGCGCAATCTTCTCGTGTTACCAGAGATATTAATAGTTTGCACGTGACCACTGACTTTTGGATGCAATTAAAGTGCCAAAAAATACTGAGGCCAATGGCGGGTCCGTTTGTATGTTGCCATAGCATGATTGTCGACTTCCAGGCAATGATTTGCACTCTTGGTGGAGAAGCATCTATGTTCTAAAAGACGTATTTGATTATTTGAAGCGAGTAGTTTTCGGTGTTTTCCGTTAATGACGTCCATGACCGATTTCGCAGTAGATTGTATCCTATGGATGTTTTACTGTTTTAAGCAATTCCGTTTGATCCCCATTTATGTAAAAGAGGATCTATAGGAAGTGCATATAAGTAATCGGATTTGCTGCGTAAATCAAACGGAAACTGGGGACTAATGTATTTGGAATCACACCATCATTTCGGTAGAGAAACTTGTCTCTGAGTTCTGGGGCAAGTCGCTTGGGGGCGCTGGGGCTTGGGAGGTGATCGCTGTTACTTTGGTACGCTTCGGATGTAGTGTTTTGTTCCATTGCCCGGGCGCTGCCCAGTCTATGCATTGCTCAAAAAATATTACCTTGTGTGCTGAGTTCATCTATGTACATAACTATTGGTGACAAACAGGTTGAAATGACAATGTAAGACACCAGATTTCGGACTACTCTAGTGAGATTACGCTCTCCAAAACGACAGAACTTTTGGTAAATCGGTTACTGATGACCTGCAAAGTCCTGGTATCCTGCCGCCGATTTAAACGTCGAATCAGCGCTGATTTGCAAAATCCATGGATAACGTTTCAAGAAAACTAGGACCCTTTTGTTTTTAACAAATCGCCTTAATGCCTAGGATCCCCCTTTACCTTAAAGATTCTAGTAAAATTACTGGGCGTTTATACTTGATTTTCATCTTTAGTTAAATTAGGGTAGAAAAACACTATAAAAGCAGTAGCGTTAACGAACCAGTTGTGAGTCTGACTACGCATTCACCAACGTTAGTTTGTTTTCATCATTGAGTGATGAATACAAAGCTTTTAGGGGCAAACATATCTAGTATTTTCAAAGCTTTAGTATGCACTGCAACTGCCGCAGAAGTCGATGTCACTGAGTGTCTTATCCTTGGCAGTAGAGGCCAGACCAGCAATAAGAAAGGCTAGGAAGACCGCAAACAGTAACTTAAATTGGGTAGTGAGTTACGTGGGTCACCGTGCAGCTGAGGCACCCTGGACGACTAGCGGGACAAATGGAAAAGTGTAGCTGTTGTCCATCAGGGCAGTTGGTGCACGCGCACACAGGATATGGACCCGTGTGTGAGGCTTGCCTCTCGCAGAGTGGTTGCGCTCTGGATAAGCATTATTCACAGAATAGCCAATTCTGAGACGTTCTATTAGCCTAGCACAGATCGACCTTCCCACTGCCCCCTAACGAAAGTCAGAATATAATCTTGGGGTTTCATTAGTGTCCACAACGGAAGTTCCCTTCCATTGACAGGCGCAAGTCTGTGTTCATGATCTCTTCTGACGTCATTAGTGAAAATTTGCAAAACCTACTTCGGTTAGTGGGACAATAGACAAGGTGAGGCATTACGACCCCAGTTTTAATTTTACCGCATGGTGTGTACGTAATGCCTATTTTGAATGGACACAAAGTGTTCCACACGCCAACGGAACGGAACTAATCTTGTCACCTAGGCTTTTAGTCTTCAAATTCCTGCACATTAATAATCACTAGATGCATTACAAATGATGCTTTTAAGAATACCTCGATTGCCATAAATAAGTACAATTTAGTTTGTGAATGAAGCATAACAGGAGGACTTTGGAGAAAAATATTAAAACATGGAGTCTTTATACAATCAGCCACAGAATCATGGATACATTAAATACGAACAAGTAGTTTTTAATGTGGACTCTATTGGGCTACAGTAACTTTCGGTTAGGCTTCTGAAATAGGAGCACATTATTATTGCTCACTTTCTCACACGATATCTATTCCAGAAGTTTAGAAAAGATAAAGGTTTATTTTCGGCAAAAATGGTTAATTGAGAAATAGAAAGGAAATTATGAATAAGGCAATATGCTCTACCTCCATGAAAATGTGCCTTTACTACCAGGAGAAAGATGAAAGCTTTGGAAGGCATAGTAGAGACAATTACTTTAGGAGTGAGACGATTTCAGGAAGGTTGCGTTGAAGCGCTTCTTCGTGAGCGGTTGTTCCATACGAGGTCTTCTGCAAGGGATCGACTTCGGCTCCTCCTTCGGTCTCAGGAGAAATAAGATAGCGAACAATTTCCAATTGTCGATGACAAACTGCAGTGTGCAATGGGGCTCGTCCTTCCAGGTCTAGCTCCTGAATTAGTAAAACATGGAAACCAGTGCCAGTCGCCATCTTGCCGACTTTTATGGGACTGGAGGGCAGTGAGGATGTCATAAGGAGCGCACTAAAGTACAAATCTAATTTACGAATGAAACTATTATATGGTTTTAGCTGCTTACTTGAAGCGACATCCCGACCATTTTGTAGAATCGCAGTTGGTTAACTTTGCCCAGCATGGCGGCATGATTGACCTCTCGCGCTCTCGTCACTTCCACTGGCGAGAGAGTGGCACCGTACTGTCGCAGTAAGTTGATGAGTTCGGAACTCGCTTTGGCGCTTCGGATGGCATGTGTTAGTGGCGTGTAACCGAACCGATCTACGGGGTTGGGATTTGCTCCTTTTTCCAAAAGCAGCCTGCAAGCCTTCATATGGCCATTAGCCGCAGCAACATGCAGAGGTCGTCTTTGCTCACTGTCGCAAAACTGCGTTTGAAAATATAGCAACTAAATTACTCCACTCATCAATTATTTCAAATATCGAGGTAGTTTAGAAACATGAATTAATGCTTTAGCTTAATGCAAATATTAAAATCAGATGGAGATGAGTTTACCCAGGATTTTAATCGACCACAGAAAATGAGGTTAAATCCGAGAGTGATCGGAAACACAATTTAAAAAAATATGTAAATGAACGTAAAAGGATAAGTTTAAAGCTTAACCTGTGAGACCGATTCGTTATTATTTGTTGATAAAAAGGAATCGGTGTCCCCACGATTAATATAAAAATTAGCTTTGAAAACACTAGAACCTAACAGCAACGATTATTGATGTTTGTTCGGGAGTTCTGGTATTCGGCAAGTATTATCAGAACACTGACTTCAAAACTGTGAGTTATATTGGAGAGCTGTTCCAGCAAATCGCAGTCGTTAGTCTCGGCGGCTCCACAGAAGAGGTAGGGAAGGATTCGCAGAGTCCAGACATTGGTGGAACCGTCCTCAGTGGCACGAGAGAGGATAGAGCCAACATGCCCCACTATTTGGGTGATGCCCGCCTGTCCGCTGACCACGTTCCGCAGACTAAAGGCGGGCGCCTCTGCGGTTATTACCTCCGCCGTCTCCTCTTCCGGTGGCAGAGTAACCTCGCCACGCAGATCGTAGGTGAGCATGCGCCGCCTCGTCGGCGCGTCCTTGAAGCACCCCAGCACGTAGGCCAATTTCGCCAGGGCAGCCTCAGGGGTCATATCCTAATGAAATGGAGGCTACACTCATTCACTCAAGCTTAAGGTAGTCAACTCGCAATCGGATCATAAAAAGCGACTTCTAACTCACATAGCCAGGGATGACACCGATCTTCTCAAGAACCGCTCCTGTGGAGTACTTAGCCTGAACCGATCCGCGCCAACACTGCGTAATATTCAGTATAATGATTCCATGTTTTTCTGTAGCCTCTTTGAATATATCTAAGAGGTCAGAACGCATCGCTGGCACATTGCCAGCACCATAGGTTTGCAGGATCACGCCTACAGATTTAACAGCATAAGCATTGTAATTTAAACCATGGCGTATAAACTCAGAAGAAATTCAGTTTTCTAAACTGTGGTCGTTTAAATGGCGAAAAGAGCTAAAAATCATGCATATATTTGTTGATCTTGATAGTTGATTTGTATTCAATGTGATTGAAGAACAGTAGGGGCCCAACAGATGATTGAAAAAAGTAGAAAATTTAATCGTAATTTAAATCTTATGTTGATGCCATCGGGTACAGAGTTACAAAAACTGTGAAGAATCGAAATGGCATTTATCTAATTGAAGTGGAGTGGTAGCTGCCAAAAAATTTGTATCATAGCATGTAGCACACGAGCCTAATCGAGAAGATAAGAGCTGTTATGAGAACTAGGTAACGGAATTGATAGTTACTGGTAAAATTAACTGGTGCGTCATTATCCTAATCAAAATTCAGAATTGATGCATTTCCACGCAATAAATATTGCAGAATAAAAACTGTGGAAATCAAGGATAATCCACTGAATGTATGGTCAGATGAGCTAAAAAAGTGATACAAAGCACTATCAGCACGGCGCTACCAACGAACCCTCAACAGGGGGCTTGAAGAAGGCCTTCACGGTTTCGGTAGTGATAGAGGGGAATACACGCAGCATAACAACGTTTCGGCAGAGCGAGTCGATGACCGTGAGTTTTTTACTCTCACTGGGGTAGCGAAGAATATTTGAGAGGTGGAAGTTTATGTCAACGCTCATCTCGACTAGGGGTGGGTAATTCGGCGAAGTGAAAGCGTCCAAGTCGGTTGCTGAACGTTTCACAACTCTGTTTCCTCGAAGCAGCTGAAAGGCAATGTTGTATTGTAACAACGACTATCAATGATGATAACATAACAAGTTGCTCTATGCTCGTATGCTCCGCATTTTATAGAGTGGTTAATTTTTTACCCGAATATCAGCTACAATCAAGGATTTGTAGTACTACAAATACACAAAAACGACTAATCATGGTAAGTTGGCATGAAAAACCGTTTAAATTCGCATATGTAAAGTTCTTACGAAGAGAAAAAGTATTCGGTCTACTCTATAATGCTGCAAATGCTTTTGGCTCTGAGCGTTTGCAGCGTCAATGAGCACCGGTGCACGTGCTATTGCACCAAGTGTGTTGCCATACCAGAATGCAAACTTGAGAGATGCCTCTACACTCTATTTCGCCGACTGTGCCAACATAATATAAATTTCTCGAGACCATAACGAAGCTTTTAATTGCCTCAAGATTTTTGTATTACGTTACATGTAAAAAGATATCAACAGCTTTGAAAACCTCTTGCAGTGCCAAAATATTAAACTACTGGACATCAGGTAATCATAAATCACATTTATAGAATATTCACTGCTTATAAGTTGGCACACAGTAGCAGACACCCCGGCCTTCTATGCACAACATCAGTGACAAAAATTCCAATTGAACTTGCTGGAATACCTCTCCGCAGAGCATTACATTGACCTAGCTACTTATGCATTCAGTAGAAGTTTACTTAACGTGTCACTTTTACTAACTAAATGAATAGATATTTACAGAAGGCAATGGCAGTAGCTAACCCGTAAGGAGTCAGTACACACCTTATTATCAAAGAAAACAGCAACTTCAGGAACCACCTGTCCTCCACCAGCAATCAACAAAGAGCCCAAAAAATTCTCCCTACCATCACTCCGAAGTTCGCCGATGGGAATTTGAGAACCGGTCACAATCACGGGTTTACGAAGCCCTTCAAGTATGAATGAAAGAAATGAGGCTCCATAAGCCAGAGTGTCTGTTCCGTGCAGGACAATAAATCCATCAAATTTGTCGTAAAAGAATTCGATGTGTTTGGCAATCTGGATCCAATTGTCTATCGTGCAGTTAGAAGAGTCGAGGAGATTTTGGTACTCCGCAATCGTAAAGAAAATGCGACGGTTTTCAATTGTGGGAGGCATGCAAATTACTGGCCACTGAGACCCACTGGCCGGATTCTTTTCAGAGGAGGTCTCCATGTATTCAGCTCGTTTCGATTTATAGTAATTTACGTGAATTTGATTCCTCTCAGTAAATCTAAAGGTTAATGATAAGTTTGTTGATGAGTTTTCAGCATGGTCGGGAATTCATAAATCAGTCCTTACTTATTAGTCAAACCTACAAGTTTGCCCCAACTCAGTGCGATTCATTTATGAAAGATTCACTGCTTGTAAGCTAGCATGCAATAACAGAAGCCATGGCCTTCTGTGTATGACATCTACGAGAAAATTTCCTATTGAATGCACATGTAAAACATAAACACATAGTCTTAATAACAAAGTCTAACGATGCATCCATTTCCAACAAATTTTAAACGTACGATTTATCCTGAAACATGGACATCGACATCACTTTTTTTACTAAAAAATCAGGTTCCGGTTCATAGACGCCGCCATGAGAGCGCATTCCAATAGTGCCACCAGTGTACAAGACCAGAACTGTACCAACTGATGAGCATGTTGGGTCAGACAAAGCAGCTTCAACTAATGCAGGTGTAAATTGGAACGATTCTAATGACGGAACCTAAAGAAGTAAAAATATCAATTAAATTCTATGTTTTTCTATATGCGGCCAATATAACTAAATTGTCATTTCATACCTGGGTAAAGCAGTCAAGCAACCCTTTATTTGTGGAACAAGAAACCATTGGTTGCTAGAGAAAAGTAATAAAAGAATGGCTTCAATGAGTGTCGAGTAAAGTTGTGGTTTATTAAAAGACGGGTTTTTAGAGGGAGTTCAGTAGGAGAGGGGGGAGCAGTAATATTAACGGTAGCGCATCGTGAACGCATTATTAATACAAACCTATGGTACGCAGTAACTTCAGAATGTTCTGACCTTAAGCAGGTACGCGGTCAACTAGCCACCGAACCGGGGAATTTACAAAGTTGCACTGCCTATCAATTGCATTTGTGGAAAATTTAAACAACAAAAGTCAAAACTAGCTTCCTAAATTTTGATTTAGGAGCAAAAAATTAAAATTAGTGCCACCTAAATTGCCTAAAAATTTAATGACTACTGTGGGAATTCTAAGAGTAAAAAGTGTTTGTCTGCATTGTACAACAAAGCATATATTTATTTGAAAAATATTCGACTGTAGGATTAGCCTAGTGATCTGTGGGCTTCGTTTATTTTTAAGTTTATTACTTAAATGAGTAGGTACACAAGTGGGGTTTATTTGCCACTCCCAGATTCTTTGGAATAACATTGCATGACGACATATTATTTCTAGGTGGACAATTTCTACTAACTATTCCTCACCAGACATTAAACGGATTTTTACCATGCCATAGTGGAAGAAATTAAAGAAGAACACAATTTGTTATTAAGGCTCATGGATCCGTGTTCCTATTGTAGAGCTTGAGTATTTGCTAAAGTCAGTGTATGAATTGGGTTACTAGCGTATAGAAGGGCTGAATGGTCCAAAGGCCACGCCACTAGGCAGAAGTACAAAGACGGAGCCTTAAATGTTCGCGAAACCGAACCGACCATTGACACATTACCAAAGGGTCACAAGTACTGCGAAGGCCTATTGTAATACTTATGTTGTTTTAATGTGCCTTTCAGGGAGGAGGCAAGCAGGAAATTCGAACCTGGTAACTGGATCGCCCTCTCCCTTACCTAGTGACTGCGGCCCCCCTCCTTCTTGAATATTGTATTTTCCTTATACATCTTGTCGTCTTTAATAAAGATGTCCAAAGTAAACCAATCGGGCTTGTCTAGGAACGCTAGGAATTGGGAAGCGGAGACCGAGGAGTCTCGCTCCACACTATGACCTCTATAACAAAGGAAAAGTAATGCAAACATTACTAAGAATACCACAGTAAAAATTCTCTAGACTCCCAAACAAGTAGAAAACTACCTTTTTTCCTTTCTTCAAAAATTACTAGATACCTTTTTAGAACCAATCTTTTCAGTTTAAAATTTTAGTCCCACTTCAACTACTTTGCTTTCGGAGGCATTCGATATCGTACAATAAATTAATTTTCTTGGCTCGGTTTTTTTACACTTCGTCTGTCGAAATTTAATTTGCTTAAAATGGGAATGGTACGAAGAGGTAAGTTCTAAACATATTAGCTATATATTGAGAGGTGTAATGTTTCACCGAGTATAAAACCTTTTATTTTTATGGTGCAGTAGAGTCAAATGAGTGCTTGAGCACTGAAACCTTAATGCCATCTCCACGAAAATTTAGATTAATATATTATCTACGGAGTTTTGACTAATAAGCAAGACATTCATTTGGTCATTCAAGGAATACTTCCTTTCCACTATCCGGACCCTTGATTAAGTGAGGGAAACACTTAATCTTTGAAATCACCCTGGCTCTCAGAAAGAGGAGATAAATGAGCAGTTGGGAAATTGCTCTAAGGGGTGACGGCGAACTTCCATAACCCACTTTCTGAAAACCTGCAGACCAATGTGGGAGTGAACTAGTTTTTACTTATGTTAAAGTGCCTGGTCGATTGGCCAAGCATTACCCGATTTTGCTTCTTATTTGGATCGTGGGATTAAAATAAGACGTTCAAGCAAGATTAAAGGACAAATATGAAAAGCCCTTAATTTCAATTGTTGTCGGATTTACAATTGTAAATAGCTATAAATGAACGCGAACTTTATAATAATCCTATGAACCCTACCAAATCAGTATTAGAACTTGCACAATTGAATCCTCTAGACAGTAATAAGGTGTTTTGAAGACTTCAGACGCCTTCTAGAGACAGAGTTGTCGCCACTCAGTGGTGGTGAGCCATTTCATCGCCTAAAGTAATCATTTAAACTGATAGACAGATGGGACTAGACTATAAGAAGTTTCGCACTCCTCTGTTCTTATTGCCTTTCCTAGGACTGAAATCACACTAAATTGATGAATCTTTATGGATTGACAGCGAATTAAAAACCGAGTAACTGCAGGGCAGTTTCCTGTAATAATTTATTTGGTTCAATAATTACCATTACGATCCATTATCCTTTCCCTCTGAGAGACAAGTTCACCAATTCCTCTTACGTAAAATGTTTTAATACCAGAGGCAAACAGTTGTGTCCTCTGACATCTGTTCCTATCCAGCTTTTACTAGACAACTCTCTATTAATTCACGGAAAAGGATTATCGAAGGAATACGAAGGATGAGGACTTTTAGAAGCCGATTTACAGTGTGAGGTTTTACGTCATCTTGTAAGAACAATGATTTCCTCCTACCAGTCCTGACTGTTCAAAATTGGTTTTTCACATTTCCTTGATTTGTTTCGTAATAAGTGGATCTCAGCTGTACCTCTCTGACCTCCCGAAAGAAATTCATCGTAAAAAATTCTGTCCGTAGTTCAATTCACACTTAAAACCAATGCCCTTTGTGGATGAAGTTGCGTATGATTTAGAACTAAGGTTTGGAGATATCTGGTGGCATAATAGTCATCATTCAATCAATTACTAAATAAGCAAAACACGGTACGTTTCATGACATGTGAAGAGTGGAGAACACATTGATAACTTCTCAATTTTATTGTCACCTTTAAGTGTATGTGGGACTTGTTTGATTGGCTTTCAACACATTTCCAGTTGGTAGAGCTGTAACCGGTGTGTACCATCACCCACGCCCACTAGGAAAATGAGACCTTCCTGAGCGTAATGCACCTTTGAACGTTTCCTCATCATAATTAAATTTCCAAACTACTTTTGAGTGGTAGGCTTTACTGATGCACATTTTCCAAAGCCAGGAAAAGGTTAAGAGAAGTTTTTTTTTCCGCTTCTGAACTGAGTCAATACATCTTTTGTAAAGCAGACAAGCTCAAATTTTATGTATTGGTACACATTAAAAGAAATAATAGGGGAAGCAAGTAAGAGCGCCGTGCTGGTAGACTGATGCATATCTGTGCCTTGCAAACGGAAGTATTTGACGCACCCGCCCTCCGCAAGTTGCAGCAAATAGTTGCAGGGAGCTAATCCAAAAGCATACCGAGTTCTTGAATTGCCTGATAACAGAGCTTTAATGTTGTGTATGGTTTTGAAATTGGGTTGTGATAAATTGTGCACCAAAAAAAGAAAAGTATTATGCATCGGGCTTCTACATGGGTGAAAGCTAATGAGTGGGAAAAGCGTACAAATTCCTATTTGTAGACACCTGCTTTGTGAAGCAATGATTAAACCTCATCAATATGATGTTGTTGACAAGTCGTAATTGAATACCTGACTTTAAGCAAACCCTGAAATCAACTTTTGCTCCCATATCAGATGATTTTATGTAAGAAATCCTACCTGGAACGGGAGTTCGAAAGTTTGTGCAGTTTCGCTTTCCCACTCATGTTTCTAAGATTCGTTTTTATGAGATTCTGTGAAAATACGAGACTTCCGTAATTCGACATTGGATGTGCCCATGACTAGATTGTTGACCAAAAACATTAATTTTATTTGATTGGTAGACTTTGCTTTACTAGGCTTTTTTAGTAGTTATAAAACTTTCAACCCTCATCAGTTATAAAAAAGTGTCTGAGTGTGAGATTCTTCCTTATTTTTGTCCTACAAAAGCAGGTTTAGTGGCTTTAGATTTTGCACAAATTCATATGAGGATTTTCGGAGAAAAGTAGACTCATATTCTTTTTCAGGAAGCCCTAAAGACCTTTCACTATCATCTTATTTCATGAAAACGACGTTTACGCAAACCAGCAACTAATAAATAATTTATTATAAGACTACTGCTAAATTTAATCGACAACTGTAGCATCATCTACGTTTCTCAAAAATCCAAGTTCATTTTTCACTTTGAAGTCCCTCTTAAAATTATGCCCATTCCATTAAGGGGCATAAAACTTTAAATGGGTATAAATCAATTTCGAATACTAAATATTTTCTCCCAATTTACTTGAACTCATGGCAAAATAACTCAACTGCCAGTAACATTTTAACTACACTTACCTTACACATTTAGAACTTCGAGTACTTTATAAGAGAATCACTACTCTTGACAAATGAATGCCCTCTCTTGATTATCTAAAAATATGCTGAAAAACTTGGCTATATGCACTGTAATTGGTGACAACGCATTTACAAAATCGTTGTCGAGAATTCATTGTTCGAATTGAAGCACTCCACTGATACAAGCTATTTGTTGCTATGTCCATGAGAGAATGACGAAGTAAAGAAGACGTTGCACTCTGTTTGCAAATGGAAGCTAACTTTTGCCCGAACTTGAATGAACTTAAATTGTACACTCCTCGTACAAGGAAACAAACATAAGAGCAAAAGCTAAGCCAGTTGGGGAGGAGAGCAAACTTTACGGAAAAATATCATTGCTATGGCGGCGGTGGTGGCTGTGGTACTGACGTTGGGGAAGATTTCAACTTTTGCAAGTGTAGCGCTGTAACTAGGAGCCTCGCAAAAAAAACCCTTTCCCCAAATAGCATGCAGTCACGCTTGGTGGAGCAGAGCAAATCGGACGTGTGAATTTAAATACATTTAGTGTTTTCATCACGCAAAGTTAATTGAAAACACATTCTGCAATTCGTAAGGTTTAAAAGGACTTTGATCAATGCCTGTGTAACAGGTAAAATTCGGTGAATTAATTGCCCTTGTAAAATCTCCAGTTTGGTTACATTTTGCCATAATAAATAAAAAATTAACGTGGTCACTAAAAACACGCATTTGCTTATCGAAAAAACATTAGTGTGCTCCCTAGAATTAGAAAACAGGAAATAATGAAATTGATATCACCGGATTTTTAAAGCTGTCATTTTTGACATGATGTCTTCAGTGATGAATGTCTATTGTTTCACTTAGTCCTTCCACATAAAAATATATCAAAATAGGAAAATGCAAATAGCCAGAAGAGTTAATTACTTAGAGGAATTCTCTATCAGTAATACCTACTCCTACTAAGTATTGCTCAGAGCAGATGTTGGGTTTTTACGTCTTGGGTAGGAACATTCGACTCTACCCACATCAGAATAGCACTAACTAAAGTTCTGTTATTAAATGTAAGCCGTGCATTGAATGGAGTATTTTTAGGTGAATGGTACACTACAGTAGCCTTTGCATCTAACAAATAAATAGATGTGCTTCAAAACCTGTTTAATTAAGAAAAAAAAGAAAAGAAAAAAAAGAAAACAACTCCCAAAGCGTTCAAATGAAGGAACTTTTAAAGCACTTTCAGTTGATCTTACTGACTAAACGCCTTAACACCTGATTGATATATTTCATTGCAATTTTGATATACCTAGTGCGATTTGTCGGGTTTTAATGCTATTTTAAAAATATTTTGCCCAATTTTTTTATTAATGACCACTTCGACGAATATGCCATTGTTACCAATGATCTCAAAATTTACAAGTTTATGGATGATACCAATTTGATACTCCGTAATGACAGTCGCTTACCAGCATGCGGTGAATAATGTTTTATTTACTTGGATTTTTTTCTGAGGATTTGGAAATCGACCTTTGAAACCTAGAGTTTATTTGTTCCTAAAAAAACTTGGCTAGCGAATTAAGTTTAATAAATACCAACTTT